CAATCACCTATCCTAGGAATCTTCAAGAAGAGACTGGATGGTCACCTCGCCGGGGTCACCTGACCCCCAGTTTGTCTTTTCTGCCTAGTTCAGGGGGGCTGGACCCAATGATCTTGTGAGGTTCCTTCCAGCCCTTACAATCTAGGAATCTATGAACAAGAACACTTAGGTCTTAAGCATTTTTTCTCTAAGCATTTCTTTCTATTTTACTCCTGTTACGCCATGGGAGTCGGTGCGTGGAATCGGTGAAAGCGTATATATTCTTGATTTTGGATAATACCAGGATTACTAGGCAAGGAGAAGTATTACAAGGACTTTTCCATGAGATCTCTCCCCCCAACCTTTGTCACTGGTTGTTTTTGACTTTGACCACTGGAGAAAATGCTGTTCCATCTAACTGTGAATGTTTCATAAACTTGCCCCTCCAGCCTGTGTGATCTGAAATCACACACTGAAAAGTATCACTGCTGTCTGAAAAGCTGACTCAGCATAATGCTCATGTGGTAGAATGCACTGAGAAATGAAGTCTGCCAGTAAGGTAACAAAAACAGTGCAAGGTGAGAAGTACCATAAAGAGGGACTTGACAGTGGAATAAGACAAGAGGTTGATAGGAGCCAGATAAAGGGGATTGGGCAGTACAATTTGCAATCTTTCTCCTATCTAGAACAACATCAAAGCCTTTAAAAACAGAAGTCTTATCTGTGAAAAGGGTTGGCTGTCGCTTCAGAGGTAGTCAACCCTACTTACCAAGGTAAGATGCACCAAAACCCTATTGGAATTGGGAGCTGGAATTAAACATATAATGCTAAATCAACTAGGCTGTTCAGGTATTTAGCTAAACAGCTTAGGTTAAACTTTAAAACGGGCTTCTTAAAAATGCTTGCTACTGTGATAAGCATGTGAGACTCTATTGGAAGTTTCCCCCTTTCCATATCTTGTGCATGCAGAATAGTTAGTAGAGAAAGTGGTAAAAGAGTTGAGATGACTCAAGCAAGTGGGATCTCACACTAGAACATAAGTATCATTTTACTGTAAGAACTCTACCCAGTGCCCCTCTTTCCTGGGTATTTCATGGCACCCAGTATCTTTGGACTGATTTTGCAACTCTGCGTGTGGACAAAGCGCTACGCCATGCAGGTTCAATAGGGTGTCTGTGCATAAAGTTACAGATTTTAGCCCAGATATTGAAAGGTACAGACAAATGCTCTACTAGGCATTTTCTAGCTCTTATTTCTTCAATTGTGTTGCTGACCCCAAAATTCAACAGTGAAAAAGAGGCATTTATTTATAAGGCTCCATTACATAGGAATCACATTACTTACGACTAATACAGAGCCCCAGGGTGAAATGCTGCAACTTTGAAGAACCATCTAGAGTTACTGTGCACTGCAAAAAACAGAACATTATTATGAGTGGGGAAAAAGAGGAGAAAAAGGAACAAAAGGAAAGCCAGGTGCATAAAAGCAGCACTGCTAGGAAAGAGCCCAGTTTTACAAGGCTTCTATTACAACTATTTTTCAAATATTTTCAGGGATTTAAGAGAAACCCCCAGATGTGGGGCTTAGACCATTTGACAAACTTAAAAAATTCTTCACTTGGAATCTCATCTCTGATACTTTCATTGTGAATCACATGCAGTTCTCAAAATCTTGTATTTAACTAGATTTCAATATAGGATCTCAATGGCTTCCAGCTCCTGTGGAACAATCCCCACAGGAGTGCTAAATATGATAGTGGTGGTAGTGGTACATGGAGGTGGGAGGGAAAGCAAAGTTTCACCTGCAGTGCTTGTAACCAAGATGGCTTATGGAGCCATAAGAATTCTCCCCTACCCTGAGAAGTATGCGTCCCCTGCTGCTCCCCACTTTAAACTGCCCTGTAGAAGTGTTCTAGAAAGCATTTCTATAGAACCAGGACCACCTAAATTCTGGGAAAAGGTTGAAAAAAAATCAGATTCTGGGGGCAACATTTTGCTTTCATATTGCTCAACTGCAGCTCATAGCCTTCCTTTTACCACTGGTAGACTCCTGCGTTTCCCTCTTGGGAACAGAATCTAAAGTTACCAATTTTTCTCCAATTTTGAATTTGCTACATAGAAAGCTACCATGGAGTGGAATTTGCAACAAAGATGTCCCAGTCATTGTCAGCATACCAGACCAAGCAGCTGCTGTGACCACCCCCTTGAAGGTCTTCATAGCTACACTATTCCTGTCTCCCGCCAAAGTTTTTGCAGAGCATTATAATTAACACCACCGCTGAAAACCAACAAGAGGCTTCAGCTGGTGGAAAAAAAGCCTGTCCAGTCTGAGGCAGACTAATGCATACTGGGCAATACTGGTTATAACTCAAAGTATTAAGAACAACAAATGTGATAACAGCTGAATGGTACACGTTTTGCTTACTGAAGCTACAGTCTGTCTCTGTACTATATTATGGCATAGCAACTGGAAAGAACATTTTTGCTTTTCGCTACAGGCATTTGATTTTACAGCACCAAAAGATGGCGTTTCCAGCAGATTACAGAAGGCCCCTCTAGATCTTGGTGGCCTTTGGATAACATGTAAGGCACATAATTTAGCTTAGTTTTCTGGCTGATTATATTCTATTATGTAATATGATCCTAAATTTCTTCAACTGCAGTTAGTTGCTATGGTGACTGGCACTTCACAAATTAAGAATTATTTCTGCCAAAGCAGCATAAATCAGATGACTGGGAGAAGAGACTGGAAAGTAGGTAGCATCCTCAATGCACATAATTTCATTTTATATGAAGCCAGGGTGGAACAAACTAACTGTTACATCAGAGGCGGGCAATTATTTTGGGCAGAGGGCCACTTACTGAGTTTTGGCAAGCCATTGAGGGCTGCATGACAGGCAGCCCAGGGCAGATTAATATTAATTTTCCAAATTTTTTAGGGGCCCCATGGGCTGGATAGAATGGCCTGGTCAGGCCACATCCAACCCCCAGGCTGCATTTTGCCCACCCCTGTTTACATACATCCTACATGACATGTCCATCTGCAAACTTGTGAACCAACATGCTTGTGTCATTGCAACTAACAGTTCAATAATCCATATAAAATTTCCATTTCAGCAGAAGCAAAATGAATCTCAATGTTCCTGTCTAACAGGCTAATTGAACACTTTGCTCAAACTCTTCTCTACTTCATATTTTGATAGTTGCCATTCACGGTTTTTTCTACTAGCTGCTTACATGGACAGGTTAAAGCATGTTAAGGTTAGCCTCATGTCTGGCAAAAATACCTTTTAGAAAAGAAAAGTAAACAGAATAAAGTGAGTAAAATGTTCCTGATGGAGAGCCAGTCTAGCCTGTATAGTCTTCATTGTGACTATTTAGTTGTTAGTACCTTGTTCTACGATCATTAGTTTTTACAATTGCTAGTAGTCCTGCCCCTTCCCTCACATAGTATTTAACAGCATTGTCCTTTCCATAGTTTAAGCCTGTTTGTTGTACAGCACTCAGCACCACACATTAACATGTTATAAACAAATCCTTTTCCATATCAAATAATATCTAGAATGTTAAACAAACTTCTTGTTTCCTTGGTTAGAGGAGAGACTGTTGATGGGATTTTGGACCCCCTGTGCCTCCCCACAAGCTCCTTGTAGCTGAAGAGTTGTGCTTAGAGGACAATGTTTGCAGCTCCCTTAATTCAGAAAAATATGCAGTGTAAACAGTCAGAGATACTGATAACAAAACAGCCTTATGTGAGCATTTAACATTTTTATATTTAAAGGCTGGAGTCATTTCACAGAGTTCATTAGTGTTGTTCACTCATAATTCTCATATTCTGCAATCAGCTCTGCTATTCAAAACAGAGAATAAAGCCTTCTTAAAAGTGGATAACAACCCCCTTTTTTAAAGGAAACCACAGATTCATGGATGAAGAGTTGATGAAGAGTCATGGAAGAGCCAAGTATTAGTTATTCTGTACTCCACTGTATCCCAATGTAATAAGATATTGGGTCTTATTTTGTATATAATTTTAATGTTCCAATTACAAGGAGTAAGTCAACCATTTCATTTGGCTCCCTACTTGCATTAAAATAGAACTGACAACTCTCTAGGAGTAAACTTCAATTAAAATTTACTTTGAAAATCTAAGTTAATCCAATACGTAGGTTTAAAAAAAAAAAAAAGGTATCATGCAACTCTGAAGTTAGAGTCCACTATTTTTCTCCATTGATGGCAAAGTACTTCTAATGAAAAAAAGGTTTACTCCTGCTCAAAAATAAGTTATCACATACCATACAAATACACCTTGCACCCACTTCTACAATGGGGAGTCGGGGGTGGGGAGAAAAGAAAGTCCTTTGGAGGATATAGCCATGTTCTAATCAGACACTGTTCAATTAGACCCCAGCTAGAATTCAGCCTTTTGAGTTCAGTAACAGCATTCACCAGGCAATTACTGCCTTTCCCTTTAGAGAGGCAAGGCTAAAGTCATAATACTAGACAAAAGAATAGGCTTTTAAAAAGTAACGACCCTTGGGTTATTTCAGATTTTCCTTTTTTAAGGGGAAAGCATACACTTTTACCTTCCCTGCAGTCTCTTTCCATCTTGAATCATTTTAGAACAAATGCTGAAATTCATTAAGAAAACACAAGATTTTACCTTTGAGCTGGTAACCAGTTACTGCCATTCGGGAGCAGCTTCATAGTTTGAAAGATTATCCTACCCACCTGCTAGATGTTTCCAGCGTTGTTGTATAACTGCAGTATTCCCCCAGGACTTGTGATAAATTTACAGAGTACCATGTGTGCACTCAGAAAGCTTCAACAATTATTACAGCTTTCAGATAACTGCGTTAAGGCTAACTTAACTCCCCCTCGCCTCCTCACTACAGAAAAGGTGGGTCAAATACCTAGGTGCATACATTTCTTTAAGTTTAAGGGAGTTACTTGACTAGCTCATACACTCTCTCAGTGCATTTAGTGAGAAGAAATATTTACATGAAAATCTAATTTCAAAGGTAGTTGAAAAGTCCATTCATAAAACTTTTATTCCACTTACATCAACTTAATACACATGTTCTTAACAGTTATGCTTAGATTGTTCATGAAAATTTCGTAAGACATTAAACAAAGCTAGCCATCATCTCAAGTTATTTCCCTGTTAACTATTTTTACAGCACATGCATGTTAGGCAAGTATCAAAAAAATCACGAAAGCAAAAAACCTAAAAAAAAGTTAAATACATGGGTTTGTTTTACTGCTGTGCTCGATATACAGTGTAGTTATCGATATCAAGCATTTCATTTTTACTGCATCTTTACTTGTACATTTGTTCTTAGGTTGCTTAAACCATTTAAATACAAATAAAATGTGTAGCAAAAATAATGAAAGCAACAGCAGGTAACTTTACAAATAATGGAATGTGAACCGTTTCTGCCCTTCTCTGGAAAAAGTGGACTGGGTTATCAGACTGTCTCAAGGAACACTTCAGCTGCAATCAAAGATGTACACGTGATTATATTCCATAGATTTCACATGCTTGACATGCAATATCCATGGGACATTGGTTCCCTCACAGCCATGTATGCTCCAGCTTTGAAGTACTCGCACTAACTACACCTGTGGCTGCAACCGATTATCCCTCCCCCCACCCCACCCTGACTGTGACAGACCAATATGCAAGCGGTTTTCTTTGCCTGACATAGGAAGCTGTTTAACACTGGTCTTGTGGGAAGCCACAATGTACCAAAAGTACTATGCCAAACATGTAAAACTTGTATAAAAATTTCACAACCCTATATTGGCCACCTCAGATGAAAACAGATAAATTCCCCAAATGTTAACTGGCTCTATTCCCTTAATATTAAACAAAACCACATGGGAAATATAGAAATCCAAATAGAAGTAACATAAACCTGTCATAAATCGTAAACAAAAACTATTTGTGGGACAGCATGGATGACAAATGGTCTACTGTGTCAATTTTAGAATGAGGCAGATGAAAGTTGGAAGGCTGGTTAATTCTCCCCTCCTTCTCCTGCTTCAGCTTCGTCTCCTTGGGTATCCGATGTCCACAACTGATTGAGAGAAAAACAGAGTAAAGTGTTTATAATGTGAAGAATGCAGAAGATCCAGTCGAATTCCATTTCTAACTAAACACTGAAGTTGGTACTGTAATGGTAAAACTGTTCTTGTTTTCAAAGGCATTATTTCTCCTCACAACTAGGTTAAATTCCCTTATGTAAGTTGGTTAGCAATCTTATTCTCAGTTAGTTTCTTCCTCACTGTGACACACAACACCGCGGGTAAGGGCTGATTAAAAGAAGCAAGAGACTTCCCCCTTCTACTTGAGGAAAAACAAATTAAACATTTTCAGCCTCATGTGTGGTTAATCCTCTTCCTGAGAAGCAGAGGCATAGAGATACCCCCTCACCCCCACCCCAATCTGCCTTGCTTCATTTTTAGTTTTACAGTTCAAGGGGACATGTGCAGCAGTGCCAATACCCACCTTTTGGTTGTACCATGCATGCACAGTTTGCTCAGAACTCACTGCCTGCTCAGTGCAGACTCCTGCTGATCAGTGCAGGCTGTGACCAGAGCCACTGTTTCTGTGCAGCTCCATAGCCCATGAGGTGAACACCACTATAGTTTGCCCTCTCAGAGCTTACTGCAGATGTGCAGCACAGCTGAAGAGAGGGTGTGCCCCCAACCCCCCAAGATCTGCTGGGATGAAGCAATAAGAAAGTGAATGGCAAATCCACACTACTCCCAGTGCTATGATCAGAAAATGGTAGCTTTCAGACAAAAAAAATCTGACTGTGCAAGAAGTCCAGATTTAAATTTCCTAGAAGGTGTCATAGGTCAAGGCCAGAGATGGCAACTAGACAACAGTGTTTTGCATGACAGAGAGGAGATAACCAATGTATTTTTGGTTCACAAAAGTGTTTCTTGTCATTTTTAGACTATACTGTCAAGATACTAACACCACAATGCGATTTGAAGCCTGTACTTCCACTAAAGCCCCACTGAATCCTTTAGCTACTAAGGCCCTTGAGAAGCTGATTCTTTACCATATTCTACCATTCTTCTGCTCCCAAAAACCCACAACTTTTAAGTTCTAAACTAATTCTGATAATTTAAGTAAACAAGGGGACAAAAAGCTACAGGAAGCCAGGAGTTTGTGGTGTAACCAAAGGTCCTGGTAAAAACAGAAACAAAGTCTGAATCCTAAATCCTGACAGGCAGAACATCTAACCCATGTGCTTTTACAGTCATATAAACATAAAAATTCATATCAATCCCTTGTTTTAGATGCTTGTTAGGGTTTGAAGACTTCTTGCAAGTACAGGGCAATCCAAAACAGAATGACTGAAGCGAACCAGCAAGAAGAACTACTGTTACACCTCATAAGTGAACAGCATATTGGATAAGCTCTCAAGAGATGGCTTTGTGAAGATAAGACTAGAAAGGACTGTAGAGAAGTAACTGAATGAGGACAGTGAATCATCTGGTATTGCTGTGTGAATTAGGGTATTCATGAAACTTGAAAATCCAAAATATCTACCCAGTTGAATACTTCGTTTCCTACCACTTTTTCTAAATTTGGGAGCCAAATGTTAAAAATCAGTGTACAGGTAGTATAAACGATATGTGGAAGTATGTCAAATACTAGACTTTTTTATGATTTGATTAATTCTGAAGCACAGCATTTAAAAGTCTGAACAAAAAGTATTAACAGATTTTTTGCATTCACTGACCATACAATACATTAGCTGTTACTGTTTAGATGACACTAGTGGAGGTCAATAAGAGCAAGACTCATGCAATGAACATAAGCAAAGACAAAGACCCCACACGGACTGTGTTAGTGTGGAATCTTGGATTTCTATTTCTAGTTTTAATTGATGTAACTGCATGAGAACACTAATACTAAGCATTAGCCCAGGTATCTGCTTAAAGATGTGCTAGTACGAGAGGTCTTCAGTTGACACCTCAAATAAAAGCCAATGCACTTTGTGACCAGCTTCAAAATGTTTCCCACAGAATAATGGTTCTCAACTCCTCATTAGTCTAAAGGCACCCCTTGGAAAAATGCAAGCTCTTAGCTTTGACTCTTTTTTTATTAGAGAAAGAGTAAAGAACACTGAAGACCACAACAGGTCAGAATGTTTCGGACACTATGGATTCCCAATTGAAACCTTTGGGCCCCTTTAAGACGAATTCACTGTATCCCAGGATGTTGCATCACCCTGGTCGAGAATCACTGCCAGAAAACTAGTAGAGTAAAAATAGTCTCTTCTTGGCCATACAAGGTTCTCCATTTTTTAAATACTTGACAGCTATTAAAAAACATCCAACCTACTCTATTTCTGACACACCTATCAGTAGTTAAAGGAAGCAATACAAAAATTGTTTCTTAACATTAGGGAAACAACCCTACAACAACAAAAACACCAAAAAAATCTGACATCACAGAGCCCCCTGCAACAGTCAAGAAAGCAATCCACTCAAGAACAAGAGCAGCTAAATCTGCTTAATTTCAACAGCAGGCTTTGGGGTGGGGGGAAAGAGGGAAATAGCTGGTGGCTATTTCAACCCAGACCACAAGCAGTGAGAGTCTTAGTTTAGATGAAGCATGAGGTTAGTGCAAATCCTGTCATGTCTCTTGCTCATAGTTCTTTGGTACCAAACAGGTCTCACCAACTGATAGCATGCACCTACCCACCAATATGACAAACAGTAGCCACCAGCTAAGTGATCACACACTTTAGTCAAGCAGTGACTAAAACTCTTCATGGTGACAAGATCCCTTGCTTAACAAGGAAGTTTTAATTGTACTTACTGTCAAGTTGTCTCTCAGTAATTGCATTATTAGCGTGCTGTCTTTGTATGATTCTTCACTTAATGTATCAAGTTCAGCAATGGCTTCATCAAAAGCCTGATGTTAAAGAAAAAAGTATTATTTCTCATGTAATCATAATAATAAAAAGTCACAAGAAAGATGAAAAAAAATTAAATGCTTACCGTTTTTGCGAGGCTGCAGGCTTTCTCCGGGGAATTCAGAATCTCGTAATAAAACACCGAGAAGTTTAGGGCCAGACCTAATCTGATGGGATGTGTTGGTTGCATCTCCTTTTTACTGATTTCAAAAGCTTCTTGATATGCCTGTTGCGACTGCTCCACTATCCCTTAAAGAAAGAGGCATGCAAATAATTCAGATAGTGAACTCAAGCAGCTATGTTTAGAGGTACTGTTTTTATCATACAAGTGTAATATAAGATGACTACATTAGGATTAAGTTTGCTTACTCACAAGAATGCAATCTTGGGTTAAAGTAGTACCTTGTCGGTAATACTTTTAGAAGAACATTTGTTGTGTTAACCAAATGATAGGTCGACAGAAACACTGCCAGGTATCCTGGACCAAAACACGGCTAAATGCTTTTTATGACTGATCAGTTAAAGCTGTGTTGCAACCTAATCTTTTTGGCATTTTTTTTAGTGCTGAGAAAAGAATAAAAAGCCACCATGTAATGACAAGGCAAGTAATAAAGAATAAAACAGAATTAGAAATAGTTAGAATAAAGTTGAACAACAGTACTTTACCACATACAGATTTACTTAAAACTATTTTATGTGGCAATGTGTTCGATACTGAAAAACAATGCAAGTCTATGTTTTAATCCCAGGCATAGCTGATAACCCAGTCTATTAAGATGCTTTCCACAATAAAGATCCATTTAAACTTACAAAATTTTGACAAAAAGCTGTTTGTATAGAAAATATCATGCCTTACACATCTTAGGCTGACTTTTGGGAAGAAAGTAATCCAGTTCAGCCATTTCCAAGACGGAAAGCATTTAGTTAAATTCTGGCAACATTTTCTCTGGAAATCTCTAGAATTCCAATTTTAGACCAGAGATTTCAAGTTTTGCAAAGGGCCTGTGTCATGAACGTGCTTTTTGCTATGCCCATTAAAACACTCTTTCAATTTACCTAAGTTATAGACTAAGAGAACTGCTCAAGGGATTCCAGCCTCAGTGAGCATGCTCCTCTCCATCTTCCCAGTTCCTACTTGACTGCACTACCCATGTCCAGTCGTCACAGACTACTAGCACAGGGCTGAAGTCACTTCCCTTTAATGACTTCTGGAGACTGCCACGGTGCTGGCAGACAGTGGGGAGGAAGAAATCACTGAATTCAGATGCCAAAGGGACAACAGCCAAATCCAGGAGGAATAAGGGGAATAAAATAGAACAATAAGTTTATGGAGACTTAGGAGTGGGGAAGAGATTGGTACTGGCTAGAAGCCAGTGGGAGGAGCTGAAAGACTGATGCAAAGGAGAACCAGGAATAGCTTGGAAAAGGAGACTAAATGAGAAACTGAGGGAGATGGGGGAGAACTAGGAGAGATCAGAAGATGATCAGTAGAATTCTGAAAGGACTGAGCAAAGACTGGAATAGGAGGGTTGAGACAAGCACAGACAGACAACTGGAATGGGATGGGACAGGAATATGGAGAACGGGGCTGGGGGGGTGAGGGGGGTGGCAGGGTGGCAAGAAAATGAACAGAAAAGCCTGCATCCATGAGCAGATTCCCTCCAGAGATTGGAATGAGTCAAATACTTCAGGACTCAATTTTCAGTCAGCAGCTATCTCCAAAAGCCACAGGTAAAATTTGAACTTTTATCCTCTTATGACCGGTCCACGTAGATGGCCTATTACTGCCATTTACTTTGTTAACCCAAATTGCAGAGGATCTAAAAGGTTCTACCTTTACTGGTGGAAAGTGTTTATCTCAATACACCACATTATATGACATTCATTTTAGCCTGCTTTTTAAACAAAGCTTAGGAAATCAATTATTGTAGACTGGGATGGATAAAATATGGCCCACAGCACATCCCTCAGCCCTGCCTGGCCCAGGTGCAGGGGGGCAGCCCAGGCCATAGTGCATGAGGCCAGTCTTGCTGCCCACGGCATACAGCAGAGCCAAGGCAGCTGCCAGATTCTTCTTCCTGGCAGCTCTGGCTCCTTTTGGCTGCCGCTGCCAGCGTCACCACTGCCACTACACCCAGCCCCACTGCCTAGGCACCTTGGCCCATCTGCCTCGCACCCACCACCAGGAGCACCAGACGAAGCAGGCAGGCAGGCAGGCAGGGTCCCCATGGAGACCAGCTGGGACCCCCACTATCCCAGCCAGTGTACTCAGACAGCTGAATGGGATGAGGCTGCAGGAGGGCAGGGAGCAGTGTCCTGGAGCAGGATGCATGGGCAGGGCCAGGAACATGGGACAGTGACAGAATGGAGCTGTACAGAGAGCAGACTGTGGCTCTGCCCTGGGCCCCAACCCTGGCCCTGCCCATCCTACTTCTGCATGCCAGTCCCCACCTGCCCGCAGCCCCATCCCATCTATCTAGCTGAGCATGCCCTGCCTGCAGGGATCCTGGGCTGGTCTCCATGGAAACCCCACCTGCCCACTCCATCTGGCACCCCCAGACTGGTCTAGTAATCTACCATTTAAGGAGTTTTGGTGAGCTGTTGCGGGCTGGGGAGGAGAGGGAATGTTGACCCAGTCTGCAACAGCTCACCGGAACTCCTTAAGTGGCTCTTCAGTCCAAATAATTGCCCACCCCTGTTGCAGACCAACCTTGAGGTTGCAACAAGTATTCATAAGTTAGGAAATGCTAAAACTAAGTTTGCCCATGCAACCCAAATTTGCCCCTCTTTCGCATACAAGAGATTAGTCTTTAATCATGTTACATTGCCATAGCAAGATCACTTCCCTTAATTGACAAGGTGGTACTCTGAGAGAAGCTATTATTTACTAGCTTCTTTTCACCATTCAATGGGTATCCCCATATTTTAGTCTCTGCAGTGGCATTTGCATTACAATACCAATGCAACTGTGGCTACTCAACATTTCTTCAAATTCTTCTGTGAAGTAGAAATTTAAGTCATTACACTTACTAGAATAGTTAACTAATTAGAATGACAGGCCACCTTGGAGGCAGTGGGGAAGACAGTCCCAATGCCATTCAAATCAAGTAAGTTTGACAAGTTTAGCAAGAAATGGACTCACTGTACCTTTCTTGTCATCTCCAGCAGCAACCTCAGCCAAGTAACGGTAGTAGTCTCCTTTCATTTTCAAATAGAAAACTTTACTTTCTGCTTGCGAAGCATTAGGAATCAAGAACTTTTCCAAAAGAGACTAAAATTAAAAACAAAGAGTAGTGTTTTTATCTTACCTTTCAAAGGTACTGCAAAACCAGTTTAGTTGCATTGCAGGCTATTACCACAAGTATGAAAAACAACCCCTCTCCCCCCAACAAACCCCACCTTAATTAGACTAATTTTTTTCCATCTATTTCATTGATGAATACCGTGTTGTAATGTTCAAAGACTTATTCTACATACAGTTCACCAATACAAACTGAAAATGTTTTAATAGATAGTGATATAGACTTTTTAACTTCACCTCAAGTAGCAAGTAGGACACTTGGTCTGCTGGTGTTCTGTATCCTGTTTTATGCTAGTGGTTTATTGTTAAATTAAACCACTGTAGCATCTCTTTTAGCAAATTGGGGTAGGAAAAAAAATAAATGAAAAAAAAAAAAAAATCACTGGCTGTGATACCCAACTGAGTTTTCAGCATATTTCAGTATATAATCTAAACAAACATTTTTGCACATGGATGCTTCTAAGCAAATGGCTTTTTTTTCTTCCAAGGATGGCATGTCTTTAGCAGCTCTGCATCTTAGAGAAGCAGACTACTTGTTTAGGGGCCTAATCTATAATAATAATAGGCTTATTCTATCTGTCCAGAGCACTCTGGTTGGACGTCTTGGCAGCCAATCACAATGTTTACTGAAACAACCAGGGTGCTCCAGACAGACAGAATAAGCGGAGGGGCACCGCTGCCACAGAGAGAAGCAGTAGGCCCTGCCACAGCTCGGGGGCTGCACAACCCAGTGGTAGCTTGCACAGGCAGGCTCTGCTGAAGGGGGAGAAAAAGCAGCAAGGGGCCCAATCCTTCCCCTCCTCTCCCCGAGCCACCAGCAAGCCCTGAGCTGTAAGGGGGCCCCTGGTGCTTCCCTCTGCTGTGGTGGTGGCCCCCAGGAGCACCTGGGTGGGGTGCCAGTGAGTGGGTGTTGCCCATGGGGCATGGCCACTGGAGGGAAGCACGGGGGTCTCCCACAGCTCAGGGGCTGTGCAACCCACCAGAAGCTCGCTACCTGGCCATGGGAGATGCAGGCAGGCTCCAGGAAAAAAAAAA